ATACGTCAGTTTTTATAGTTTGGACAGAGGTTTTTGCCTCAAGCCCCAGGCGACATGGCGCCATAACTCACTTATGGATGAGAGAATCAGAATATCTTATAGAAATGGCCAATGTAAAGAAATCTAAGCACAATATCCTTTTATAAATAATAATATATCATGGACATAGGCCTAATAAATTGGTGCCACTCACTCCAGCCGATGTTCAGCCGGCACGTGGATGAAATCATTTTAAATAGCGTCCCGTTGTATGTGTGCATGCGTTAGGGTGAGTGGATCTAATCGTATATGTCACTCATCTCAGTATTACACATATCGCTTGACCTTTCGAAATTATGACACGTCCTAGACCTACTTTGTGGGACATAATGATTGGAGGCATGAATCTGGCGAGGGGGTAAAAGTAATATTACCCATTTATGTGTAATATAAAGGCCGATTTGGTTTGTATCGAACGAGTTAGCGACAGGCGGCCGTGAGCAAAAAAGGAATCACTATTCAGGAAGGCATAATACTGTACTATTACTCTACCGCTACCGCATACCGCTGTCGAGTTCATACTTAAATTGTATAGAGGTAAATGAAGTATACGTTGGCTTGGATACTGCTGAGATGCTGATCTTGATTCTTGTGTAATATAAGAACAAGATAAGAATATTTTGAGCCTGAAATTGGATGAATTTAGAACACTGAGCCAGGGTAAAACTTTATTCGTTTAAAAAAAATTGACACATAGATTTTGACATATAGATTAATATATATATATATATATATATATTATATATATATATATATATATATATATATATATATATATTTATGGATATATATATATATATATAAATATATATCTACTTATTTATTTTATTTATTTATTCAGGTATAAGAACATAAAAAACAGTCAGCAAATAGAAGACTGAAACGAATGAATTTATGATATGAAAACAAATTCAATAATTAATCTAAGATAAATACAATAACAAACTTACAATTCAATTACCTGAACATTTAAAAAGATAACTATACAATATTAAATTTTATAAAAAATAGAATAGATATAAAAAATAAATATACCAAGAGGAACTGAGAAAAGGGGATCATATGTACAAAATTTTCAATTTAAATACATTAGTTACTAAATATTTTATAAAAATTATTATTAAAATTATTAAGGTTATCAAACTATTATTAATTACAAGATTATTAAAAACTTACATTAATGACAAAATTTAATTTTCATTTATATATATATATATATATATATATCAATTATAGTAATATCATAGTCAATTATAGCCTATGCATATTTATATTTCATTATGTATGGCTTACATTTATAATATATGATAAAACACCTTCTTCCAGGTCTACACCACTTGCCATTGTTGGTTGATAGAAACTAAATATTGAGAGGTTACTACTCGGCCTAGCAACGTCTGTCAAAGATGACCTTCTAGGCGGCAACGGGGATAGCTTATCCCCCTGCTTATCCTCTAACAAGTGCGAAACGTGTTTGTCCATACCTCGAGTCGTCCCTTGGTTGGGTTTAAATTAAAATGACCGCTGTCTCTCCTTTGTTCTTAATATAAATTAAGTACAGCTTAGCATGTATCCTTGTTTCTGAATGTCTAAGTCAACAAGTGATGTCAAGTTTAATTACATAATACCTGTAAAAGTGACTTAAAATGTGCACATTTTCTAAGTTCACATGAGTCACTTTATTTCAGGTAGACCTATGTATTATTATAGGCAAACTATTTATGATTGACAAGATAAACTCTACTAAATCCTAGGATATGTATCACTACGTCATCTTGACACCCTTAATTATAACATGACCTTATTCGAGATTTTCCAGTATTACCAACGTTCTGATATCTCAATTCGCGTGGAGCTTGATTCTGCAGTAGGATTTAGAAATACTTAGTCCATTTCCTATGTTGGTTTTGTCAGTCTTTCAGTCGTTGATAGGGCTTAGTTCACTGAACCTAGGTATAGAGATGTCATAGAAAAAATTAATAATACTACCGCGACATTATTTCTTTCGTTTCGATAGTTCTAAGTCTATCGAAAATGCAAAGTGGGAGACCTGAAGGCCTAATTCCGGGCCTAATTCTCTGTTTACTTAGTGTGCTTTTACAACTCAATTAGGCCTACATTTTGATTTCCGTCATTTTTATTTTCGATTTATATCATATAATGCAAAATTGTTATTGGTTGATTGAAATACAGTAGCCTGATTACCCTTCAGTGCGCTTGTGTAAAGTGGTAACTTCTACCCAACGACAACCTTGAAGACACATCAATTTTTCATACAGAACAAATGATAGCCTTACACCTCACGAAGTAAGCCTTTAAAGGATAAAATAAAAAAACAAAAACGAAAAATGAGAGATGAAAGTATGTCTATTTCAATAATTTGAAGTGTTAAATTTATACTAAATACATAATTTCTGTAATATTAAGCCCCGATTAGCAGTTACTGCCAATTCTATTTTCAAGCGCCCTCACGGCCTTGATATCATGTTTGTGCCAGGACAGAAGCATGCAGTACGTGGTCAATTATTGACCACGAATTATTGTGTTACAAGTACCTACTTGGGAATTAAACATTGCCAGGAAATCTGCAGTACAGTACTATGAAAAGTGTAATTTGTAGCCTGTATTGTATGATTGACACTGAATACGGTATACTATATAAACTAGGAGTTCACACAACAGGAACAAATCACCGGAAATTATATAGACCTATAATGCCCTTTTTATAGAAATAAGCACAACATAAAAATAATCAGATCATGTTTTAATGTGTAATGCAGTAGTCCATCTGAGTACGACACAAAAGACCTAAATAGGCTTTCTCAATATGCCTATGAAAATTTAACCAGTGGTTTTTAACATTCCAACTTTGATTTCTTTTGCGTATAAAAAACTATGTTCAATTGAATATCGGTGTATCGATCGTAATTTAATTAAATATTTAGCGATCAAATGCGGCAGGTGAGTCACACATGCCCACCGCTCGAATCCACTCGGAAGTTTCAAAAGTTTTTGCAGCTTAGCGTCTTCACTGTGAGATCGTGCGATGTTGAGTATTTGCTGCCACAACGGTTCAGGTTCATCAATTTGATTGACGTTCGTTTTATGACTCAAAATAAAAATCTCACTTTTTTTTTCTAGCTGGAAATATGTTGTAACTTTCAACAAGTGAGATGATATATAGGCCTACTTTTTATACATAGGCGTGAGTAGTCCTAAGTATAGTAGGCTTAGGTATGCTTTACTGCAAACTGGGTTTATATATACATGTCTAGCCTGTACCGTATATAAATATAGGGCCTGGAGCTTATCAACTAGAGAATACGTAAATGATAAGAAATGCTATATAATAGAATATAGGAAGAAAATTTGGTATCATCATATCAAAGAGAGTAGTACAATGAAGTTCTTTATCAGTAGTATAATAATATAATATATGTATTGTATATAATCCATATATGGACTGTTATACACAATAGGAATAATAAATGTTTCTAGGAGTCATCAAAGCTCTAAACCTGGACCCACAGCCCAAGAGGTTGTGAGAAGTGTAGTGCCCGGATCAACCATTTGGTTCACATTTTAAAAAACAATCAAAGGTTTAGGTCTAATAAGAGAACAATATAGGAAAAAAGCACCAATTTATGAAAATACATTTTCAGCTGTTCTAGCTGGGACTAGTACTGCATCCATTCAGTAAAAATGGTTGAAAACCCCATCTTTGGTCTCTGTCTTTGCCCTTTTTAACATCATGATTTATGAAATCGTTGGAAAAAAAATCGGAGTCAGGGTTATATAAGCGTTGTGTTCGTCGTCAATCAATAGAAAATTCAAAATACTGTTAAGTGGAAAAATAATTGAGCTCTCCTTTCGCCCACCGCTGAATCCACCACTGAACTCATAATATTTATATTTATTATTCATACTAGATACTTGTTTGGTTTATCTTACTCCACTGAGGGCGTATATCAGTTGTATGAGGGGTTGCCTTCTTCGCTGTATTTGTATCTGTCTGTAAACCGGTATAGCAATAAATATATAGATACAGGTATGTAGATATAGTAGTTATAGTATAGATACTACATGTACTTGTACTTGTACTTGTGATTATTATTATTATTATTATTATGTTATTATTATTATTATTATCATTATTATTATTATTATTATTATTATTATTATTATTATTATTATTATTATTATTATTATTATTATTATTATTATTATTACTGTGTAGATATAGATAACACCTGGCACTTGGGTTTCAAATGAGGGCGTTGCCAAAACACGTATTTACTGCTGGAAAATGCCCTGCTTAAAAGTTTGATAGATTTGTTGCGGTTTCAAAAGCAGTTGGAGAAGTCAGGCTGCGAGTGGAAGATATAGTCTTTATTCAAGAGCAAGGGGCAACACGGATAAAAGCACACTTTAATAGTGCGAGTTTTATGATGTTGAGAATACTTTAAGCTATTCATGCACCGTTGTATACATACATTGACTTGTTAGAAATTTATTATCGGCAGTTAGGTGCCTTTAGTACGGTCCAGACAGTCCACTTAGTTCATTCTTCCGTTCTCTATCCTGGGAACCCAGCATCTGCTATACTCGCCGTGAACCAACACCCACAACCGATTTGTCACCGAGACTTCAATTCGTCTCCTTCTTGTCTTGAATAATAAACAGTTAAAAGCTTGTCAGTACTCTTATTATTTGTATTGTTCACATGTAAGAAGACAAACAAGAAGGTTTCGCGTGTCTTCTGAGTGATAGTTATCGTACATATTCAGAATAGGCGCTAAAGAATGACTGTCTCCCTAGAGAGACCCGTGAAGACCCAGATGTAGCCGGCGAAAGTCGGTCACCCTGCTCAGGTCTTTGTAATAATGCAATGAACACTGCGCACATACACAATGCGTCCAGTAAGGACACTATAACAATGATAACACAGCCAACTATTCACCTCGGATGTAATAATACTTTATTCTTCACTATTATATACAATTTTCAATAAAGAAAAAATTCAAAAGTTTATACCACAATACACATTTTGAGAAACACTGACACGGTTCACACGCGTTCAATGACCTCGATAATTTGTATATCGTTTTTTAAACATTAAGAATGATGTATGTAAGCCTACATTTGCACATTTCCCATTTACAAGAAGGGGACGTTATTTATTTATCCATGTTAAAATCATATTTATCACCAATAAGATAAATCAAAATAAAACATCGAATACTGTTGCAGAAATTTATACAAGACATAATTTACTACATAATTTAAATATGGGCCTTGCAGCCCAACTCTGTAAGTGGTATCACTTAAATCAACAATAAATCCTCTATAATATCACAGAGGATATCGCCACAGGAACTAGATCAGCACCAAACTTGGTCCTCTTTTGAGTAAAGTCAGTGAATATAATACAATTGATCTAATGCACCGGCCCATCGGGAAATATATTTATATCATCAGAAGGTGGGCTCGGTAACAAAAGAACAAGAGTCTGAAGGTGCAACCACCAATGAATCATTATTCCATGATTTGTATAAAGTGGCGTATCTAGGGCTAAAGTGGGGGTTGCTAGGAAAGTGAGCGGGATTGCTTGGGTAAAAAAGTTGACAAAATGTCGACTCTAATGACTGGAGTGTGTATTTTTTGTTTAGCAGCTTTTCAGTTGGGTGTTGGGAGCTCAATATTTATCTGGGAGAGGAAGTTGCACCTCAACTTATTTCCTTAGATACGCCACTGGTCGCTTTAAATGAAAGAAAAAGTTAACCACGTCGACCACAAGATTACACAGGCATACAAAAGCAATGAAATCTACTGGTGTCGTAACCGCAACAAATCGCCCTCAACAAAACTGTTTCAACATTCATCGATCATCGAAGTTCGGAGATCCTACCCTGATATATTCTTTGCTCGATTACTTCAAGAAAGTATTTAATTAAACATTCATGAGTGCATACCATTGCTATAAACATGACACTAATGTATATGAAGGAGGTACAACAGATCGATAAACAAGACTTGTGAATTTACAACTTCCTGTCGTTGAGGGCGCACAATAAGAGGGAGCAAAGGGTTACTGTATTATTTGCTGCAAGGTCATACGCTAACCAGTAGTGGAACGATGGCTCAATTAGTTAAATAAGGGAGTCAAAGTAAGTACAAATAATTTGTTCTATGATCAATAACAGATGTACTAAACTACCTAGGCCTATATAAGTGTTCAAACTACGACATTCTTTAGAACAGGTGTTTTGCAAAGAATTAATTAACAGCACAATTAATTTTTAATAGTCGAGTGTAATGAATTGAGTTGATGACACGAATGAAATTTCTCCATAGTTTACTTAATAAAGATTTATGGTATGATATTTTCATCAGCAATTCAATTCTTATTACCACCTTTAACTAAATACAAATTGTTTTATCATTTATTTCATTAAAATATGATATATTCAATTTCCTGTGTGCGCTTGTGAAATCTAAATTCAACACTGTACTAACTGGTAACTAGGTAGATGTATTATAGTACTTTGAATAATGCTGCTACTAGATTGGATGAGTAAAGAACCACACTTCCAAGTCTATAAACGAAGCTGAGAAAAGTTGCTAGGTGAGAGCTGGATACGAATCTGGTAGGTACAGTCAAAGAGTATAAATAAAACAAGAGAGCCAACAACGCTCATTGAGAGCGTAAAAAAACGATACGCCCTACGCAGCCAGAGCGTAGGACGCCAACTAACGTTAGTGGGCGTCCTACACATGCGTGACGTTTTTACGAACGGGACTTTGCTCTTTTGTTCTATTTATACTCTTTGGTACAGTGGGCTAGAACATGTAGTTGTGGCGTTGGAATGTCCTTTTGTACACTGTGAGTTATATTCGACCATTTCGCGTCAATAATGAAACTGAAAAGTTAGGTCCTGTGGCAATTGTTTCTCTGCTGATGAGGCTTTGTCGGTTGTTGCTGCCTGCACAAGTTGCGCGTAAACTTTGCCAGAAGTGCTTCTGTTATTCTTCACATCTCGGTATTTTTATTTTCTGCAAAAAGTGAAAATAATATTTCAAATAAATACGATGAATGCATTTGACGGAAATGTTCGTTTGTACTATCGATTCCCCGGTTTTCTGTGTCGGAAATCGTGTTGTGATCCTTATATTTATTTAAACTTATTCTAAATGAAATAATATTTAATGTCACGTGACCCTCGGAATACTACCACCCACATTTTATCAGGCCCTACCTATTACCACTTTTGGTTTATCATCGGTAAAGTAATACTGTCACTCTAATTAATCGACAGTAACTTCCTGCTAAATATGTTGACAGTTTGATAAAAAAAAAACATTGATGAATGTCTAAATGATAACTAACCATTGTCCCCTTGCCAGTTAATATGCTTGTGCCAATTAATATCTCCCCTTGAAATTACAACTTTATATTAATAACTATAAAGTTTTTGATTAATATGAAACAATGGATTAGAGCTTTTTCCGAAAATTTTAATTATGTCTGAGCAAGTATGTAAATAAATAAAAAGAGTCCTATATATTGTTGTCTCAGTTTATGTCTATTTCAAAAAAACCAACGAGACAAGAACTTAAAGCGATATATCAATAACAACAATAATGTTCATCAATATGATCAATATAAAGCAATGTATTAGAGTATTTTAAAAATATATCTCTTTAAAGAAAAATGGCGGGACAAAAATTTACCTTTTATCGTTTGTGTACCGGTTTGAACGCTGTTGTAAGTGGCATACTCAATGTCTCATTTTCTAAATGTCCCGGTGAACCACACTCTCCTATAAAGCCAAAAAAGATACTGTATTTAGAACATTTCAAAAAATTAAAAATTTACAAATTACACAATTTATGGCATTGTAGGTTATAATTCAATCTACCAAAACGTCAAAATTGTGCCGACGGACGTAAGAATGTGAAAGCTTATTCTTGTATAATTATATCAGAATTTGACGAAAACATGAAAATGTTAAAGAAAACATTAGATTAAAGTACAATATGGGAATGCAGTATCACAGTAAATACGATTCTATAATGTATTTCAGGCCTAATTATATCAAATACATATCAAATAGTTTGATTTATTTAATATTAATTTTAGGATCGATATAGTGTCTAATGTATTTTTTTTTCCTTTCTTGTATACTATAACTGAGTATACTGTATACTGAATTACTTTAGTATTACACACAATGTTATTATTCGGCGGCCGGTTATTGTTGTCGAGATTAGGCCTAAGTTATTAGATGTAAAGGAAGATGTTTGCTTTGCAACATTCCTCAGGAGTAACACAAAGCAAACGCTGAACTTATTAACAGCTAGTTAAGGTTATTTAAAAACACGGCAAGGGACGAATAGCCCGGCCTAGTAATAGTACTACCGAGTTTGGTTGTAATTCAATCAAGTGAGCGAACAGGTTACTCGTTACAACTCTATACCTGCCGTCGGCACTTTGGTCACCTTTGCATTACTATATATCACGTTTAACAACTTAACATCTGACAGAAAACATGCGCTGTACCTGAGTACATAGGTAAGGTATTCTTCACCATAAGTGTACCTGAGTTTTTGTGTCAATTAAAACCGGTAGGCCTACAATACCTGGACACATTATATATTATATAAAAATATTGTTTAGAGCCAAATGTATACTACTAAGAGTTTAAATCGTTAGAATTAATGTTAAAATCGAACCAGTACATCAATTTAGTTCTATTAAGATTCTAAGAAATAGCAACCAGATAATTTGAAACAATTTCTACGATTCAATTAATCATAATATCTGACACGATATCTGATGAAATATAAACTGGCAGATTCTACACTAACCCGTGTAATATAGATCTGAATATTTTGTTAGCTTGAATTGACAGCTTCTACGTAAAAGCTAAGCCATGTCTAATGAGATATTTCAACAACAATGTCGTGTTTATTTAGTTCTACACACTGTGACTGATCGCTATTCAAGTTCAAATAAATTGTAACATTTTTACTCGGACGAAATCCAAAGTTACCACGGAGTTATGCGCATCGGTATTTTAATTGGTCAAATCAAACTTACATCATTCATTTATATAAATATTTTCGCTTCTGTCTAAATATTCAATTGCATTTATTAATTTATTTTACACGATAACTATGGTTTTGTGCTCGAGGGTTTGTACAATAAAATGATAACATCTAAAAAAATGCGCTTACCTGCCGAGGATACCGAGGTGGCTGGCTCCGGACTTCTTGAGATTGTGACGGGTGTCGGCGCCTTGGCTGTCGTACCGGGGAATCTGTCAGCACCGAGGGGTATTGATGAGGAAAACAATGGCACTCCTGAGCTACTGACAACACACGTAGTGGCAGCTTGGGAGCCGGTGGGTAAGTGGTTCAATGCAGGGTTCATTGACATTTGTAGCCTAGACATCGACAGTGAACCTGGGTACGGTCCATCGATCCAGTGTCGAAAGTTGGCTAAATGTGCACTGTAAGGGTTTAGTCCATGTCGGAAATGATGAAGTCCATGTGGCATTGAATGTGGGGTGATATAGCTTGGAGATTTTCTATCGGGGCTGCTAGAAGTAGCGGTATGTGCTAATGACCAGATTTTTGGTTTTTCTGGTTGAGTTATGTTTTTTGTTTCTTTGCGCGAGTTAATGTCCTCGTGTGTATCGTGTTCTTCTATACAGTCTGATTTTAACGATTCAACATCAGATGGTTTCGGCGAATGCACGTGCAATTCACTTCGATCCCGTCTCCTTTCCTCCTGTTCCATTGCCGCATCTGCCTCACCGATTGCTGCTTTGAAATCCTCTTCCTCAACATCAATTGGTTCATCATCTTTATTATCATCACCTGTAACCGAATGAATCATTGAAATTATGTATAAAATATCAGAAATCTTTCAGGAAAATGAATGCATTTTCTAAAGCATTATTCTAAGATGAATCACCCGAATAGCGAACTCCGGGTCACACACCGTTCACATTCCTAAGTTACCCATGCTTGTACAAACCGAATGTTTAAACTTCTACCGCACCGCGCCAAGATAGGCATAATTGTAGCCTATATCCTCTTTAATGGTAATCTAAAACTCATTAAAGCTTAAACGGTTTTTTGTGGAAAATAAATGTTTGACAAAATATGAAAAGGTGATCTCGAATAATAACGAATGTGAAGTAGGTCATGTAAAGTATGCAAATAACGAAAACACCTGCAAAAGGAACAGTTTACCTTGAAGAGTTAACTCTCACAAAACTGGTGTTTTTTTTTCTAAAAATCGATTCCATAATGATAACTTTAAAGAAGATAATGGTATGTGACGGTTAGCAACCGTGTTGCCAAGAAAAAGGTTTTGTTGCCAGCGGCCATCATGAGTCTCATTAACGAATCTATTCTACGTTTTTTGTTCAATCCATCAACATTTAATTTACGAATATTGCATTTCGACAATCCGACGACGTTATTCGTGTTGTAATGAACACAATTGGTTAAATATTACCACCTTTGATAATAAAATCTACATCGTATTGATTTGCGTGTTAACTACTACAATAAGATGACGGTTGATTGAAGGTTCGATTATGGGCGTAACATGTCCATGCCGAGTTAACTGGAGAGCTAATAGACACGATAGACTTCAAAATATACTGGTAGTAGTGAGCCAATATTTGAATTGTTTACATCGGAAATTTGGAAGCATTCGATTGAATATTAAACAGAAGAATAAATAATTTTCTCGTCAAATAACAGGCGTTCCCATTATTTATATAGGCCTACCTTTATTTAGTGGTAATCAATTACTTTATGATTTTTAATGTAAAAAGTCAGTAAATCGTCGAAAACTGAATTGTTTCGGTGTCTTATTTAAAAATACCAGTACGGTATTTGATCCTTTAAAATTACAAATTTAATTTTTTAATTGATTTTATTAACAGATTTATCACTGAAGCTATCTTAATTGCGGATCGATTTTTAAAAAAAAAACCATAATCATCAAATTGATCAACTTGTTAAAATCTCTTCCTTAAAATAATAATTAGGCCTACTCGTCTTTTAAATCAAGAGATAGCAGACATTCGTATATATGTTTTCAGGCTATCTGTTCTAATTTTCTGCATAATCTCGGAAAGATATTAGGCCTACTTTATATAAATAATTAGAAAAGTGCTTAAATCTGTACGTACCTAATAAACTTGACGTGTCATCTGCGTGGTCTCGTTCCCGGTTTTCATCCGCCTCATCTCCCGAATCGAACTCGTCATCTTTTCGACCATCTCCGCACCTGTTTCTTGGTGACCACGTCATTTTGTTTTCTTTCTTCAAACGCCTCCTGGCATTTGCAAACCATGTTGATACTTGAGTTAGAGTCATTTTAGTTATGATAGCCAGCATAATTTTCTCCCCTTTCGTTGGGTATGGATTTTTCCTATGTTCGTAAAGCCAGGCTTTAAGTGTACTAGTGGTTTCTCTTGTTGCGTTCTTTCTTCGCGCTCCATTTATGTCCATTGCCCCGTATCTGTGAAGTCAAGACAGTTCAAACGATTAAAAAGCACGTTCATACAAGAATTGTTATTATTTAAATCCTCTTAATCTAACCTTTTTCAAACGTTCAGACAAAGTACAAGAATGAACTTTTGTCCTATTTTATAAACAACGTCGAGTATTTACTTTAACAATTGTGGTTTGGTTGGGATTTCATTGCACAATTAGTTCCGAGTTTGAGGATAGATTTCTCTGTTATTATACAAGAAAGCGAACAATTTTGTCGTGGATTTTCAGTAGTAATGGTTTTAATACACAGTATATATGTTCACTACCCATCCCTTTGGGCTATTGAAACTGCAATGAATTGAAATAATTGAAGTTTTCATTTAATTGGTTTGAAATCTAATTATCTATTACACTTGCGGGGTTCCCGCTATTTAACACACAGCAGACGGTTATTAACAAATCATCACACTGTGGCAAATGTACACATACGCTTGCCAGTTTATTCACAAGTTTACTTATAGCTTAATGTACATGCATTCAGATAATTAAACAGATGATGTTAATCACAAGATGTTGACTTAAATAATGCATTATTATACAAAGTAGTGTTTAGTATCGGGTCATCCAGGGTCACGTGGTTGACATTACTACACAAAGAAAACTTTGAAATTGTGTCCAGGCGTAACACCACAATCATCACTTAACCACGGTATAACACACGCAGTAATTGAATGCGTTTTATTAATTTCAATTGTGATAACAGGAGCAAATTTATCATCCTTATCGTATTATTAAACATAATCATAGAGGTCATATCGATATATATAAACGCATCATGCTCCATCGTGCTGTAATAATTAAATTAACCCATAAGCGTCAAATAATAATAATAAGGGCTAATGTGTGAATAGGCATATTCAATATTTATTTTAGGTCTACAGGATTTGGCGAACTAGAATGTTGTATCGCACTGATGTGTTCATCGATAGTAAATTGGCATATGATCATCGTAATTGACAACACGATTTAGGCCTACATCGGTTCACAAATATTCAATGGCGAAAATAATTTAATATTAATTATCACGGCATGCTTGATTTTAATGTTTTAACAGTGCTGTGTTAAAATCACGGAGGTCTCCAAATGTCCCGTGCATAGAACCACAATGTAAAAAGGTACCGTCAGTTTTGAAAGTGCGTTTCATATCGAACACCGTACCGTGCTGTATGGAAACGAAAACAAAAGTACGCGGTTTTTGTCTACGCAATATCGTAGGCCTACCAAACAGTTTAAAGCAAAAGGAATACGAATCAATTTATAGTGTTTAATACCTCCTTGATGTGATTCAGTGTTGATAATTTTATGGGTTTAAAGACAACAAGCTATTTATTGTCGGAACTAGCACGTGCAACATTACTAGTGGAAAACCAGGCCAGTTTAAATGTACTTCAAAGAGGGGCGATGTCCAGAGGAAAATTACCATAGGCCTACAACATTGTTATCCCATCTTGTGTGGACACTCTTCAGCATTTGAACGATGCGTGTCTTTTTATGTCAGTTAATGTTTCAGGGCTTACCTCGTTCACATAATTGGCCCACGGGGTTAACCTTAGACAACATACTTATCGAATGTGCACTAAAAACTACCTGTTTTCTCGTGGAGTCAACAATTGCTTGTTTATTATAATTTTTATAATTGTACTCATAAC